GGAGTGGGAAGGGAGTGGAGATTTTGCAGTATCCCTCCCTGGAGTGGGGAGGGAATGGAGATTTTGCAGTATCCTTTCCCTGGAGTGGGGAGGGAATGGAGATTTTGCAGTATCCTTTCCCTGGAGTGGGGAGGGAATGGAGATTTTACAGTATCCTTCCCCTGGAGTGGGGAGGGAATGGAGATTTTACAGTATCCTTTCCCTGGAGTGAGGAGGGAATGGAGATTTTGCAGTATCCTTTCCCTGGAGTGGGGAGGGAATGGAGATTTTACAGTATCCTTTCCCTGGAGTGGGGAGGGAATGGAGATTTTACAGTATCCTTCCCCAGCCATGTCCACCAAGCCACGCCCACAGAACCAGTAGTAAAAAAAATGAATCCCACCACTGCTCCAGAGTTCACAGCTGCTAACACTCCAGAGTTCATGGCTGCTAACCCTCATAGTTAAAGGGAGTTGGGTATATAATGTATTTTTTTTCAGTGCACGTCCTAAGCCTATTCCTCAGAAGCGGTACAATATTTTAAAGAATGTACTTTGATTTTTTAAATAATTGTTATAGTCTGGTTTCTCTACGGATTATGTATACTGTACAACTTTTGTCTTTTATATTAAACATTGTGATTTTTTTAAAATTATATCTGGCGAGAGAGATCTTTATGGAACAGAAACCAATTTAAACCTTGTGCATGGCTGTACTACTTCCAATTGGAGGAGAAACTCAAAGGACACAACTTCCTTGTGTCAGGGTTCCAAATAGCATCCAAAATTAAATCAGAGTCCAAGGCAAAGGATTGCTGAAAGTTCCAATTGATTAAGAGAGTCATGTTGGCACATCTGGGAAAACCCGAATCTGAAAGCTTGCTGGTTTTCCCTACCCAGTTGAAAGGTCAAGACCTTGCCCCCACACCCACAAGTCCATCCCATGGTCCAATCTCCCACTGACATATTGGCAGCTTCCACCCATCCAATTGTGGTCAGGTGCAGAGACAAAGGATGACCTTGGCATTCTAGAAAGAATATTGTTATGGCTACATATCATCTAACTCCGTACAATCCCCCCTCCCATTTCCCCACTATAGAAACAGCATAGTAGTTCCTTCCCAAAAGGAACCTGGCTGCAGGCCTGACACCTTGCCCATCTGGTGACTTCTGGAGGTTTCAAAATGATCTCAGAGCCAAGGAAGATGGTAATCATGATGTACAGGGCATGAGGTTGGAGAAAAGTAGAAGCAGAGTTTCTAGCTTTGGATAGAGGTCTACAACCTTGGCGACTTTAAGACTTATTGATGTCAATTCCCAGAATATCTCAGCTTGCTTTGCTGGCTGAAGAATCCTGGGAGTTGAAGCCCACAGGTCGTAAAGTTGCCAAGGTTGGAGACCCCCATACTAGAAATTTTAGTGGTTTTTTTCCTGTTACGCCAGCTACTCTTAAATATGCAGGGACTGTTTTGCAAAAAAGGTGGTTGAGTCATAAAATGCTTAATTACCGACTGATGTGGTACAGCCTCAGGTAGGTCTTCATACCTGAGCCTTTTTTTTTTACTTGTGAAAAACAGACCTTTGGCTATTTATAGCGTTGTAGGGATACGGTGGCTCAGGGGCTAGGACACTGAGCTTGTCGATCAGAAAGGTCGGCAGTTCTGCGGTACAAATCCCTAGCGCCATGTAGCGGAATGAGCTCCCGTGACTTGTCCCAGCTTCTGCCAACCTAGCAGTTCGAAAGTACGTAAAACTGCAAGTAGAAAAATAGGGACCACCTTTGGTGGGAAGGTAACAGTGTTCCGTGTGCCTTCGGCGTTGAGTTATGTTGGCCACATGACCACGGAGATATCTTCAGACAGCGATGGCTCTTTGGCTTAGAAAGGAGATGACAACCGCCCCCTAGAGTCGGGAACGGGTAGCACATCTGTGTGAGGGGAACTTTTACTCTTTCCTAAAATAAAAATTGCAATCTATTTTTTGATATACTGAAGTCAATGCTTTTCAAATAAAACAATGATATTGTAAAGACCAAAAACACATGATTTAAAACAATCTTATCCTGTTTGTTAACCAGTGGTGGGTTCCGGATCCCGGTGCAACCGGTATGGTACAATGGGGCCCGGCAGCCACCACATGAACGCCCGCAGCGCTTGCACAAACCTGTGCACCATGCGCATGCGTCCTTACCTCCTGCGAAGCTCTGCAATGCCTCCGCAATGGTCCAGCTGCTCAGCGGAGCATTGCGCAGACGCTGTGCATGCAGGCACAGATGCCCCATTTCCTTCAAATACAGGTAAGGAACGAAGGTGAGTGGGCCCTCCGGAGCACCGTACCAAATGGTACCCAGGACTCCCGGCAGGCACTGCCTGCAACCCACCACTGCAATGTTAACCATGCTGCAGGGGAAATTTATCCTCTCTTCAAGAACATCTGGAAGGAGCCATATACAGAAACTCCAATGGCCTATTAATTGTAGTGAAACCAGAGGTGGGTTCCTACCAGTTCGTACCTATTCGGTAGAACCGGTTCATCAAATCTACCGAACCGTTTAAAAGAGGTTCCACCAGTGGACCCGGAAAGCAGGCCACACCTACAGAAGAGGTTCCAACATTTTTTGAAACCCACCACTGCCCCCCCCCACACACAGAGAGACAGACAGACTGACACACACAGAGAGAGAGGAAGAAAGAAAGAAAGAAAGAAAGAAAGAAAGAAAGAAAGAAAGAAAGAAAAAGAAAGAAAAAGAAAAAGGGATGAAAGAAAAAAGGAACAGAGAGACAAAAGGAAGGAAAGAGAGAAAGAAAAACAAACAAACAAACACATGGCTGGCAAGCCACTCCCATAAGGTCACATGGGCAGCAAGCCACTCCCACAAAGGAGGCCATACCCACAGAGTAGGTTCCAAACTTTTTTGAAACCCACCACTGAGTGAAACCAAAGTGCACTGGAAGGTATTTATCAGACCTTAATGACCCAGCTGAAATAATAGGAGTTGTAAAGTAATAAATCAACAGGACACCAAATTTGGAGAGAGTGTGGCATGTGTTGCACAGAGAGGTCTGGGAGAGAGGCTTTAAATTGCGGGATGCCTTTGTGTTAAGTATTGGTTGTGGGAAAGGGATTTCTTTTTTGTAGATCCAATGTTCATCATCATCTGTGAATAAGTCACAACAAGACTGAAATCATTTAAGATGCTGCTCAGGGATGGACAATTTTGCAAGTTTGCATCTAAGCCCAGGAAGGGATTTTGTTCTGATCTAGGCTTCCCCAAACCACAAAGCAAACTCCTTGTCCCGACAAAAAATTCCTTTTAATTAAGTGACTGTGAATTCTGCTCATTCACATCCAGCAAAGTCTTTCAAGGGAGGATTTACAGTCACAGACCTTATCTGGTTTGGAGAGCAGCCAGGCTGATATCTGCAAAACTTGAGAAGGAGACTCGGAGATTCACAAACCAATTAAGTGAACTAATTGTCTCCTGCAAACTCCACTCCCCTTTTGCTCCTCTTTTAATTCCTCTGGGAGGGGCCATTTATCGTCTACCTGTGCCCTTGCTCCCAAGTTGATCCCTGTTCTTTAGCTGTTCCCTTCGTCTGGCAACTCTGCGCATGCGCACACTGGGAACAGGCTCCAGCTGTTCCTCTGCCTCACTGATGTCTGACTCTGAAGGCAGCTGATAACTGTCAGACGGCTCTGGCCCCCTCTCTGCCTCTGACACAGCCCTCGTCCGAGCCTTCCCCAGATTCCAGGACTGGCCCATGTTCCTCCCCAACCTCCTCACTGTCCGAATCTGCTGCCAGCTCTGCTGGCCACTGGCAGGCCACAACAGATTTCACACAAGATATTTCATTGACAAACCTGACCAGCTGATTACTCCATGATGCATCTCTTCTGCTGAAAAAATATTTATTTACACTCTTTTTAATACATGTACAAATGACTGTAAGCACCAACATCTTTTAAATCCGAAGGAGCCTGCCAGGCTCAAATGAAGTGCTATTTTCCTAACATTTGTCAGGTTTCAATATTAGCAGGGATGCTTCTTTGAAATTCCAAAATAATTTCATTCATATTGGCCGTCCTCTTTTCCCAGCATCTAGATTGAGGCTGTGTTTTGGGGGGGAAGTCATGCATTGCAAATAATAAATGATTTAGATATGCTTTTCTTTTTTAACACGAAATAGTGAGTATGTTTCTTTCTATGATGGCTTAAAACACTACAATTTCATCCTCTTGCACAGCTGGGCACCCTGGTTCTCCAAAACCAGTATCCTTTTTAAATTAAAAGATGGGGAATTTTTAACTCTGAACCGCTCTGTACACCGTTCCATCATAAAGCATCCTTTTCTGCAGTTTAGCCAGTGGTGGGATTCGCACCTATTTGGGAGAACCGGTTGTTAACTTTCTAAGCAGTTCGGAGAACTGGTTGTTGGAATAAATTTCTTTTGGTTTTTTTTCCCTACTTTACAGCGCTAATCCTGTAAGGAAGGCAGGAAAGAAATATTCTGGTGTTGTTTCCAGCCTCATCTTTATTGCCCTGCTTACAGAAACTGCCTCTCCGCTTAATCTTTATGGCATCGTCACGCCCATCGATCTGAGTGATGTTGAGTTGGCCATGCCCACCCAGTCACATGACCACCAAGCCACGCCGACCCAGCTGGTCATTAGGGCAGAGAACCGGTTGTTAAATTCTTTGAATCCCACCACTGAGTTTAGCTGAGGCTAAACGTGCTTCTTTCAGCAATTATGATTCCAGTTATCTGTATAAAAAGAAGAAAAAATTGGAGATAAATGTTGAGCTTGCAAATCACCAAAAAGTCCTTAATGTTTTTTTCATACCATCTCCCTGTTATGTGGTATCGGCACTGAACCTCGGTGTAGATATTAGGGAAGTTCCCAAGATAGAGCTAGATAAGTGGTAAGTTGGCCATTGCTTGAGTAGGGAGCAAGATGTGTCATCAGTTGATGAAAAGTTCTTCTGGATTCCTCCCCTTTGGTCCAGGATGTTCGGAAGCGAAAATGAAGATCTCTCCTTTCACCTCCGAGGGCTGCCACATCTTGCTATATGAAAGGCATAAGAGCAGAACGCAATACGTTTGTGCCTGGAGAGCATTAAGGCCCTCAAGTCTGACCAATAAAAGTTGAATCCTGAGCAAATTAAGGTCCATGATACATGCATGCAATGCTGTTTGAAGAGCTTCCAAGGTTCCTTTTGCTGTTGGTTCCCGACAGTTCTCCCACCATGTTCTTCAGAACTTCCTCCTCATCTTCAAGCATCTTTCCCCAGACTTTGCCCTCAAGAGAGTGAAGATAGCAATCCGTCAAACAGCGTCATTCCAGAATAGGTCATTGTTGCCTTAAACAGCAGCAACAATCCAATCGGAGCAGTTCCAAGGTCTATCTGAACAGCTTCTGCACATTCTTGCTGTATGATATATACCAAATCCCATATCATCCCCTTCACTGACTGTAGCTAACCGCTGGATGGTCCAATTTCCACAACTGCCATTTCTTCTTCATTTCAGATTTCACCTGGAACAACAAGAATGTTTGAGGGTCCATGTTTCTTCCTGGACCTCACAGCATTTAGCTCTCCCTACCCAGGAATATTGGAATTTTTGGAGACTAAAACTTGTAGAAAATTAATTGGTGATTCGGATATCCGAGAATAGCTGAAAAGATGGATGCATTTTTAAAAAAAAATTATATTTACATCCTGCCTTTTCTCTTAGCATAGTGTTTCATATGTCACTAGCTGATAACCCAGCGTTTCCTGGGTATTTATTTATAGGGGGAAAATGTCCGGACCAAATGTAATTTCTAATGTTGGATTACCAGAGGGAGCCCCCTTGAGTATTGTGAAGCCATTTCTATGGCAACTCCACTGTGCTGTACAGTAGAAGCCATTTTACGCCAGTACGGTAGAAGCCATTTAAAGGCACAACAGGCTGTATCTTAACACCCTCCCCCCAAGGAGTGTTAGGGGTGTCTTGCCCCCACAGTGTTTTTTTTCCAGAGAGTAAGTCATCTCTGTATCGAGTTTGGTTGAAATTGCTTGAGGCATTCCAGAGTTATGCTGGAATACACACACACACACACACACACACACACATATGCTGGTCTTATTGTATTCGGGTCGTTTCCCTTGCAAGATTGAGATTGTCTTGGCAACATTTTGGCGAGGTCTCACTCGCTATCTTCAGGCTGGTGTTTTCCTCCATTTTATTACACATAGGATGGACTGGAAGAACGACTGGCACAAAGTTGTCACCTGCTTGTTGAATGGGCACCTGAACCTGGGCCTCCCTAATCCAAGCCCGCTACCTGAACCTTAATATTCTCTGTAAACATAGATCTGAAAAGATGTAGAATTGTATTAATATCTAGGCTTCCTCTTGTAAGTTTACAGTAACTCTGTAAAGCCGAAATCCTACACTGTAGATTCCTTCCCTCTATTTTTTTTTTAAACATAGTCAATTAAGATGCTCTTAATTGCTCTCAGTCTAGAGCAACAAAACTGGCCAGGAATACTGGGAGTTGAAATCAGTATTCCGGTATTCAGCCAGTTCTGGCCAGTTCTAGCAATCGGCTGGGTCTTCCTTTGTTGCCCTGCATAGGAGAACAGAGCTGGAAAGCAGGTTAATGGGGTGAGGCGGAAATAGGGATTTTGCAATATCCTTCCCCTGTTTTTTGCATGCCCACCAAGAACCAGTAGTAAAAAAAAATTGAATGCCACCACTGGTCTTAAAGTTGCCACGGTTGAGAAACCCTGATGCAGACCGTCTCCTGCAAATGCTCTTTTAATCTAAAGTGGGAGATAGCCTGAAGGGACCCTCTGAAGCTGTTCAGAATTAGGGATGGGTCAAGAGGGGGGGGGGATACTCACCTCCTTATTGGCAAAGCAGTAGAGAACAGCCACCAGGAACCCCTGTAGTAGATAGAACGTGTTATCTATTACACACATCTGTCACGATACTTAAAATTGTGCTGATTGGACAATGCATTGGATTTGGCCTAAGATAGATATCAGAATTGGGTATAAGCTGGTATCCTGTTAAAAAGGGAAAGGTTCCCCTCGCATGTATGTGCTAGTCATTCCCGACTCTAGGGGGCGATGCTCATCTCCATTTCAAAGCCAAAGAGCCAGCGCTGTCCGAAGACATCTCCGTGGTCATGTGGCCAACATGACTAAACGCCAAAGGTGCACGGAACGCTGTTACCTTCCCACCAAAGGTGGTTCCTATTTTTCTACTTGCATTTTTTACATGCTTTCCAACTGCAAGGTTGGCAGAAGCTGGGACAAGTAACATTTTTTGTTTTTTGCATGCCAAACCAGCAATAATGCCGGCAGCAACCCACCCCTGGATCCAACCGTAAATATCTGAAAGATGAATCGGAATGGCATTGAGGTGAAAGTTACCTGAAAGGAGTTGAGGAAAAGTGTGACGAAAACTTTGATGTAGCGCAGGATTCCCGTGGTTTGCTCATCTGTGGCAAAGATGAAGACCACTTCATGGATCCCAAAGAGGGGGATGAGGGTGAGGGTGGCCTTGGCTAACCTGCAAGAGAGCACAGAGATGTCAGAAGGAATAGGGCAGGATCAGGCCTAGATAAACCACCTTTGCTTGGGAAGCTACAATCAAACCAGCATTGCTGGCCTGGAGATCTCAACTCACCGCAATTTATAATCTGTGTAGTCCTTCTGACTAGCCCGTAACTTAGCCAGGATCACTTTGAGAATTTGCATGAAAATCAACAGATTAATCTGGGAAGGAAAAGGAAGCATGCATTAGAAGGTGGCTGAGATTTCCGAAAAACTATTTTCATTCCAGAATAAGGTTAAAAAGATGAAATCAGCGATGATTTCATATTTTTACCTCTGTTATGGGCTGAACTCTTGAGAAAGCAATTTTCAAAACGTTTCAAAGCCGAAGAGCCAGCGCTGTCCGAAGACATCTCCATGGTCATGTGGCCAGCATGATTCAACGCCGAATGCTGTTACCTTCCCACCAAAGGTGGTTCCTATTTTTCTACTTGCATTTTTAAAAGCTTTCGAACTGCTAGGTTGGCAGAAGCTGGGACAAGTGATGGGAGCTCACTCTGTTACGTGGTGCTAGGGATTCGAACTGCCGACCTTTCTTATCGACAAGCTCAGCGTCTTAGCCACTGAGCCATGGCATCCCTCAAACTTCCATAGAGCAATTGAAACTGGAAAAATAAGGGTCTTTCTACAATAAAATGTTTATATATACAGGCAGTCCTCAATTTATGATCATTAACTGAGCCCAAAGTTTCTGTTGCTAAGTGAGGCATTTAATTTTGTCCCATTTTACAACCATTCTTGCCATAGTTATTAAATGAATCACTGCAGTTATTAAGTTACTAATATGGTTGTTAAGTGGATCCGGCTTTTCCATTGACTCTACCTGTCAGAAGGTCTCAAAAGGGGATCACATGAGTCCAGGACACTGAAAATGTTATTTTCAGGAGTCAGTTGCCAAGCATCTGAATTTTGATCACATGACCATAGGGACACTGCAAGGGTCGTAAATGGCACCAGAGGGGAAAAAGATTCACTGCTATAGGGCTCTACAACTAGACACAAGGACAGTTTCCCCCCGAATGCCCCCACTCTGCTAAACAACTAATCCCCACAACACTGTCAAATTATTCACTGCATGGCTATTACTATTAGTCTTGTCATCGTTCCTGTCACCCATCTCCTCCCACTTACGACTGTATGGCTGTAATTTTGTTACTTGTATCCTTAAGATTTATATTAATTGTTTCTTAGAATGATTTGATTGCTTATTTGTACCCAATGACTATCATTAAGTGTTGTACCTGATGATTCTTCACCAGTGTATCTTGTTTTTTTATGCACACTGAGAGCATCTGCACCAAAGACAAATTCTTTGTGTGTTCAATCACACTTGGCCAATAAAGAATTGTATTGTATTGTATTGTATTGTATGTTCTATTCTATTTTCTATTTTATTCTCTATTCTATTCTCTATTCTATTTTCTATTCTATTTTCTATTCTATTCTATTTTCTATTCTATTCTATTTTCTATTCTATTCTACTCTCTATTCTATTCTATTCTATTCTCTATTCTATTCTCTATTCTATTCTATTTTCTATTCTATTCTATTCTATTCTATTCTATTTTCTATTCTATTTTCTGTTCTATTTTCTATTCTATTTTCTATTCTATTCTATTTTCTATTCTATTCTATTCTATTCTATTCTATTTTCTATTCTATTTTATTCTCTATTCTGTTCTCTTCTATTTTCTATTCTATTCTATTTTCTATTCTATTCTATTCT